AAATATCATCACCCTAGGCCTTTTGGTTACTGAGAAGTTGTTTAAAGTAAAATGTTGACGACGGACGCCACACCATACCAGGTGAGCTAAAGATGATCAACAACCTTTGGCGTGACTACCAACATCAGTAAGTAACAAATCAACATGCATTATTAATCACCGTAGTTTTATTTTCAGATGGATTCATAAAACATAATTTTCACTTAAAATTATCTACCATGATGTGACGAAATGATGATAAATTCAGCTTTGGTTTTGACACAAAATCTCTTGCTCAAACTCCAACAAATGTCTTGTGTTACTACAGTTATTGTACTCCAACAAATGTCTTGTGTTACTACAGTTATTGTACTCCAACAAATGTCTTGTGTTACTACAGTTATTGTACTCCAACAAATGTCTTGTGTTACTACAGTTATTGTACTCCAACAAATGTCTTGTGTTACTACAGTTATTGTACTCCAACAAATGTCTTGTGTTACTACAGTTATTGTACTCCAACAAATGTCTTGTGTTACTACAGTTATTGTACTCCAACAAATGTCTTGTGTTACTACAGTTATTGTACTCCAACAAATGTCTTGTGTTACTACAGTTATTGTACTCCAACAAATGTCTTGTGTTACTACAGTTATTGTACTCCAACAAATGTCTTGTGTTACTACAGTTATTGTACTCCAACAAATGTCTTGTGTTACTACAGTTATTGTACTCCAACAAATGTCTTGTGTTACTACAGTTATTGTACTCCAACAAATGTCTTGTGTTACTACAGTTATTGTACTCCAACAAATGTCTTGTGTTACTACAGTTATTGTACTCCAACAAATGTCTTGTGTTACTACAGTTATTGTACTCCAACAAATGTCTTGTGTTACTACAGTTATTGTACTCCAACAAATGTCTTGTGTTACTACAGTTATTGTACTCCAACAAATGTCTTGTGTTACTACAGTTATTGTACTCCAACAAATGTCTTGTGTTACTACAGTTATTGTACTCCAACAAATGTCTTGTGTTACTACAGTTATTGTACTCCAACAAATGTCTTGTGTTACTACAGTTATTGTACTCCAACAAATGTCTTGTGTTACTACAGTTATTGTACTCCAACAAATGTCTTGTGTTACTACAGTTATTGTACTCCAACAAATGTCTTGTGTTACTACAGTTATTGTACTCCAACAAATGTCTTGTGTTACTACAGTTATTGTACTCCAACAAATGTCTTGTGTTACTACAGTTATTGTACTCCAACAAATGTCTTGTGTTACTACAGTTATTGTACTCCAACAAATGTCTTGTGTTACTACAGTTATTGTACTCCAACAAATGTCTTGTGTTACTACAGTTATTGTACTCCAACAAATGTCTTGTGTTACTACAGTTATTGTACTCCAACAAATGTCTTGTGTTACTACAGTTATTGTACTCCAACAAATGTCTTGTGTTACTACAGTTATTGTACTCCAACAAATGTCTTGTGTTACTACAGTTATTGTACTCCAACAAATGTCTTGTGTTACTACAGTTATTGTACTCCAACAAATGTCTTGTGTTACTACAGTTATTGTACTCCAACAAATGTCTTGTGTTACTACAGTTATTGTACTCCAACAAATGTCTTGTGTTACTACAGTTATTGTACTCCAACAAATGTCTTGTGTTACTACAGTTATTGTACTCCAACAAATGTCTTGTGTTACTACAGTTATTGTACTCCAACAAATGTCTTGTGTTACTACAGTTATTGTACTCCAACAAATGTCTTGTGTTACTACAGTTATTGTACTCCAACAAATGTCTTGTGTTACTACAGTTATTGTACTCCAACAAATGTCTTGTGTTACTACAGTTATTGTACTCCAACAAATGTCTTGTGTTACTACAGTTATTGTACTCCAACAAATGTCTTGTGTTACTACAGTTATTGTACTCCAACAAATGTCTTGTGTTACTACAGTTATTGTACTCCAACAAATGTCTTGTGTTACTACAGTTATTGTACTCCAACAAATGTCTTGTGTTACTACAGTTATTGTACTCCAACAAATGTCTTGTGTTACTACAGTTATTGTACTCCAACAAATGTCTTGTGTTACTACAGTTATTGTACTCCAACAAATGTCTTGTGTTACTACAGTTATTGTACTCCAACAAATGTCTTGTGTTACTACAGTTATTGTACTCCAACAAATGTCTTGTGTTACTACAGTTATTGTACTCCAACAAATGTCTTGTGTTACTACAGTTATTGTACTCCAACAAATGTCTTGTGTTACTACAGTTATTGTACTCCAACAAATGTCTTGTGTTACTACAGTTATTGTACTCCAACAAATGTCTTGTGTTACTACAGTTATTGTACTCCAACAAATGTCTTGTGTTACTACAGTTATTGTACTCCAACAAATGTCTTGTGTTACTACAGTTATTGTACTCCAACAAATGTCTTGTGTTACTACAGTTATTGTACTCCAACAAATGTCTTGTGTTACTACAGTTATTGTACTCCAACAAATGTCTTGTGTTACTACAGTTATTGTACTCCAACAAATGTCTTGTGTTACTACAGTTATTGTACTCCAACAAATGTCTTGTGTTACTACAGTTATTGTACTCCAACAAATGTCTTGTGTTACTACAGTTATTGTACTCCAACAAATGTCTTGTGTTACTACAGTTATTGTACTCCAACAAATGTCTTGTGTTACTACAGTTATTGTACTCCAACAAATGTCTTGTGTTACTACAGTTATTGTACTCCAACAAATGTCTTGTGTTACTACAGTTATTGTACTCCAACAAATGTCTTGTGTTACTACAGTTATTGTACTCCAACAAATGTCTTGTGTTACTACAGTTATTGTACTCCAACAAATGTCTTGTGTTACTACAGTTATTGTACTCCAACAAATGTCTTGTGTTACTACAGTTATTGTACTCCAACAAATGTCTTGTGTTACTACAGTTATTGTACTCCAACAAATGTCTTGTGTTACTACAGTTATTGTACTCCAACAAATGTCTTGTGTTACTACAGTTATTGTACTCCAACAAATGTCTTGTGTTACTACAGTTATTGTACTCCAACAAATGTCTTGTGTTACTACAGTTATTGTACTCCAACAAATGTCTTGTGTTACTACAGTTATTGTACTCCAACAAATGTCTTGTGTTACTACAGTTATTGTACTCCAACAAATGTCTTGTGTTACTACAGTTATTGTACTCCAACAAATGTCTTGTGTTACTACAGTTATTGTACTCCAACAAATGTCTTGTGTTACTACAGTTATTGTACTCCAACAAATGTCTTGTGTTACTACAGTTATTGTACTCCAACAAATGTCTTGTGTTACTACAGTTATTGTACTCCAACAAATGTCTTGTGTTACTACAGTTATTGTACTCCAACAAATGTCTTGTGTTACTACAGTTATTGTACTCCAACAAATGTCTTGTGTTACTACAGTTATTGTACTCCAACAAATGTCTTGTGTTACTACAGTTATTGTACTCCAACAAATGTCTTGTGTTACTACAGTTATTGTACTCCAACAAATGTCTTGTGTTACTACAGTTATTGTACTCCAACAAATGTCTTGTGTTACTACAGTTATTGTACTCCAACAAATGTCTTGTGTTACTACAGTTATTGTACTCCAACAAATGTCTTGTGTTACTACAGTTATTGTACTCCAACAAATGTCTTGTGTTACTACAGTTATTGTACTCCAACAAATGTCTTGTGTTACTACAGTTATTGTACTCCAACAAATGTCTTGTGTTACTACAGTTATTGTACTCCAACAAATGTCTTGTGTTACTACAGTTATTGTACTCCAACAAATGTCTTGTGTTACTACAGTTATTGTACTCCAACAAATGTCTTGTGTTACTACAGTTATTGTACTCCAACAAATGTCTTGTGTTACTACAGTTATTGTACTCCAACAAATGTCTTGTGTTACTACAGTTATTGTACTCCAACAAATGTCTTGTGTTACTACAGTTATTGTACTCCAACAAATGTCTTGTGTTACTACAGTTATTGTACTCCAACAAATGTCTTGTGTTACTACAGTTATTGTACTCCAACAAATGTCTTGTGTTACTACAGTTATTGTACTCCAACAAATGTCTTGTGTTACTACAGTTATTGTACTCCAACAAATGTCTTGTGTTACTACAGTTATTGTACTCCAACAAATGTCTTGTGTTACTACAGTTATTGCAGTACTTTGTAGCTAGCTTTTTTCACTCAGTAAACTCTATTTGATCATGATAAAACCTACGCTTATAATATGAACAATCTTTGCATATGCACAAGTACCTGTTGACACTCTAATATTTGTTTTATTTCTGAAAAGCACCCAAGACTGACAGAGTTTCAACTGTGCATCAGAATGGTTGGACAAGCTAAAACCAACCAACACTTCAAAAATCCATCACGTGGAGTCACCTGCATGTCTAAAAATAAGATCTAGTCAACAAATTAAAAAGTCAACATCTCTTTTTCACATGGACATTTTCATACTGCTTTATACCTGTCTTAAGAAAAAAAGGTGTGTGCATTATTATCATACTGTACAAAACAACCACATATATACAATGTATTCTGTTAAACTGATAAATACGTTAAGATAAATAAAAAGACACGACCATGTTAAAATGCTTTTGGAGTTTTCACAAATATATACATGTATAATAATACAGGAGAAAATTGCGAGAAGCCAGAGTCTATACCTGTATATGATATGCCAATATATGTAACTGAACTTTTTAAATTTTAGCATTCTAATGTAACAGAATCTGCTGATAAAAAAATATTGATATGCTAAAATGTTCTATTTATCTGATAAAAAGAGTTATAATGTATTCTCAATGTGCTAACCAGGAAATGAAATAAAAGCTCATATAAATTGGTGAGGTTGCTCTCCTGTTAATGGTACACAGTGTACAATTTGGACTAGATGTTGATACATATATATGTTATCTATATTACTGATAGTTGCTTATTTACATATCTACAACAAATGATGATGTGGCAGACTTAAAGTGACCCGTCGGGTAGAACAATGACAAACAAGTTGGTGTCGAGAGCACACTCGTGTTTTATCGCCAACTAAGGAAGAGGTCCTGTTTGTTAAGCTTTATTTCTTACATGGAGTCGCTTCCCCCATTTAAATCTATATACAATAGAAATACTTATGTGAATGCAATCCCTGCCTGTTGTTTAACATACATCTGTTACACTACTAGACAGGATATTCATTGTTTCTGTAACATTGCTGAGAATTATTTCAAAATGTCTCTCAAAAAAGCCCAACAATTTGTGTGTTTGTAGGTATACAGAGGAAATAGCATCACTTTAGCTGGGATATAACTTTGCAATGCCTATAAACAATAGAAAAGTAATGGGACTCCACCTAACATTACTGGAATTGAAGTAACACAAGAGGTAATCAAACATTAGGTCAAAGGTCAGTGCAATGGGTCATTTTGCCATGCTGTATCTAATGTTAAGATAGGACAGTTGCAGAGAGAGAGAGAGAGAGAGAGAGAGAGAAAGAGAGAGTATTTGTGTAACAGTTACCTCACAAAGCAAATCCCAAACCAAAAGTTTTGAAGTTGATATTTTTAACTGAAGCATCTCAACTGATTTGGATCTTATTTATTCTGCTGCCTCAGGAAAAATTGACTCATTTGAACACAAGTAGAGCAGGCAGGCCAGCCATTGCTATCAGTTAGATCCTATCAAAAGTCCCCACTTGTGAAGACAAGGTTCGATGTAAATCTGATGTGCAATTACTACTTTACTCAGAACACTGCATACAAATCATTTATAATATCAGTATGCATAACACCTCTGACTCAAATGTACCAATTCATGAACACCGACTTCAACCGGAAGATGCAAAATGTGTACAAGTGCTAGCTATAGGCACTGTTGAAAGTATAACAATTAAAGCTTGATCATCTGGAAACATTGGCTCATGAGGGAATTATATGGAAAGAAAAAAAATTAGCAGATTAATAAAACTAGGGACTTGTGTTTAGAGAATTGTTTTCTTAGTAAATGACACAAATTTTTCTCAACAAACAATGAGGACAAATTTGTATGGTTATTGAACCCAGGGCCCTAACCTTGACTGCAGAATAACATTACTGAAACAATAAGACAGAAACGAATCAGACAGACCAGGAGAGTATCACACCAGTTTATCAAAGGAGTATAAGAAATACAAGTTGCAAGAAGAATTACATGTAAACCTGTTTGGGTGGGTAAGACAACAAGAACATGAGTGTATTCGTCTCCATGGGTTGGTACATGAATGTTTTCTTCTCTTCATGCCCAGAAATGGTATTTTTGGTAATAGGGTTGGGATGAAATATCTCAATTTGTATGGAAGGTGACATTTTTCATTGATTTACCTCTATTTCCCCTATTGGGCCACAACCCTCTGCCCCCTGTTTACATAAACCCAAGTCCCACTTGCCAAAGGATGCTACAGAACAATTTGGTTAGAATCCCTACATTCCTTTGGAAGGAGAAGGATTTCAAATATTAATTTTCTTTCTCTGCTATTCGACCCCGCCCTCCATTTATACATATTTTGGTTGTCTTTACCTGCAGGTTCTCTTGACCAAAGTTGGTTAAAATCTCTCCATTTGTATCGAAGGAGAGAGATTTTAAAATTAGTTTCCTTTATTTACAATATTGGGCCCCGCCTCTCAGCTCCAAGTGGGGCCCACTGTTAAGGACTAGTCGTATTTTAAAGGGAAAAATACTAAAAAGTTTACAATTCTTTTCACACACCTGGGTGTTGTCAAACATGACCAGATGTAATTTTTGGCGGTATGCCTTTGATATCTAGACAAAATTCTGCTCTTTCTACTCCATAACATAAATTTTCAGATGAAGTTCCATTCAGAAGAATTAGTGTCGGGATTGCATGTTTTCGCAATAGTGGAGCCCTGATTAACAAGGTTATGACTGTATTCAAATCTTTGGTCTCATTTAGTTACTCAACTGCAAAAAGAATTCAATTATTTCAGAAGATGAAAACGTATAATCTTATTCTTACTCGACTTTTTTATAATGATTAGTTAATCAATCCATATCATGATTTGATTTTAAAAGAAACAGTAAATCAATCGGACTGTTTATCAAAAGTCTACTTGCACATTTCCAGTTTTCTCAATTCCTTCGAAAAGAAAGTCATCAATGCTATGTTGAAAAAAGCTCATTTTCTCACACTCAGTCATTTTATAAAAAATAATACATCAAGTGAGAACATATTTGTTGTAAATCTTCACAAGTGAATTCTGCACGCAGAATTTGAGGACTTACAATTTTTCAATACGTCTGTAATTACTATTTCATAATTGTATTTTTAGGAAAATTACAAAAACTTTACATTCGATACATAGAAGCTTATTACTTTCACTCAAATGTGAGTTAGTAAATTTGATCATCTACAAATGTTTTGTACCTGGCACCACTGCACAAAATGAAATCATCAAATGTATTTGTATTTCATCTGTGTGGAGGATCTAAATCACTAACAATTGTTTTGAAGTCCATTCAAACTCAATCATGTCTGCCATGGGATGTGGAATGTCCAAAACTAGGAAACCTCAACTGATAACCCTTAGTATATCAGTTCAACATCGGTGAGGAAAAGAAATGGCTGGGCTTCTTGTTGATGGTTCGGCTCTTGTTTGAAAATCTGCAAAACAACAAGACACCCATCAATAAAACTTTTAGCATTAACCATTAACTAACATTATTTTAGTACTTCTGAAATCTTTGTAGGCATACAATTCGTGTCCCTCATGATTTCAGCAAAATATCCTGTATAAAAAAACAAGAGGCCCAGAGGACTTGTATCACTCACCTGTTTCTTTTGTTACATGAAACTGACATATAGGTAACTTCTGACCAAAGGTAACTAGAACACAAGACATTTTAACATCTCTTAAACGCTACTTAAGATACTGTTGTTTGAAATTTGAGGAAATTTTAATTTTAAAGCTGTTTACCCATGTTGACCTTTGACTCCGTCTAGCACTTAAAGTTGACATTTGACCTCATTACTGTAATAAGGAAAACGACGCACACAGCTGGTCTACATAACATACCCAAGTATCATGACTCTAGACCTAATGCTTCTTAGGACATTGTTGTTTGAAGTTTTTAACATATTTGACCCATGACCTTGAAATTAGGTCGTCATTTTACTGGCCAAATATCATGACCCTGGGCCTTATGGAACTTAAGAAGATTGTTAAAGCTTTTAACCCATGTTGACATTTGACCCCTGACTAGCACTTTAAGCTGACCTTTGACCTCATTACTGTAATTAAGAAAAAGATTTGCACTATTGTTCTACATAACATACCCAAGTATCATGACTCTAGTCCAAATGGTTTTTAGGATATTGTTGTTGGAAATTTTTAACATATTTGACAGTACCACTGAATTAAAGAGACTATAGTTACAATACTTCTGAATTATACACTATAGTTACAATACCATGTAATTATAGTTACAATACCATGTAATTATAGTTACAATCCTATGAATTATAGTTACAATACCATGTAATTATAGTTACAATACCATATGTAATTATAGTTACAATACCATGTAATTATAGTTACAATACCATGTAATTATAGTTACAATACCATGTAATTATAGTTACAATACTATGAATTATAGTTACAATACCATTTAATTATAGTTACAATACCATATGTAATTATAGTTACAATACCATGTAATTATAGTTACAATACCATGTAATTATAGTTACAATACCATGTAATTATAGTTACAATACTATGAATTATAGTTACAATACCATTTAATTATAGTTACAATACCATATGTAATTATAGTTACAATACCATGTAATTATAGTTACAATACCATGTAATTATAGTTACAATACCATGTAATTATAGTTACAATACTATGAATTATAGTTACAATACCATTTAATTATAGTTACAATGCTATGAATTATAGTTACAATACCATGTAATTATAGTTACAATACTATGAATTATAGTTACAATACTACTGAATTCTTTCATTCATTGCATTCATTACACACAGACTACATTTATCTCCATTCTTGAGTCATACTTATGTCTGTTACAACCTGAATGTGATTTCATTGGCCAGTACTTTAAAGCAGACATCATAAATATTGCTTTGCACTGGCATTTTGCAGTGCCATGCATCACAAGCATCAAGTTTTTTTAAGACACATTTTTACAGAAACAATGGTTGCTACTATGACGACATGTAATGAGAGTACAACACCAGTAACAGTACAGTATCTATGGATGATACTATGACGACATGTAATGAGAGTACCACACCAGTAACAGTACAGTATTAATGATTATATGGTTGTGATATTACCATCCCTACCTCCGGCACCACCAGTTGCCCTCACAGACAGGTCTCGCTCATAGACCTGCGCGGCATCACTAGCGGTGGCATGAGTTTGGGTTTCATCTTGGTGATTCTAAAACAAACACATGGCATCACAATCGTACACATGTCATCTAACACCAAGAAGGAGACCAGTACTGATGACCAACCTCATTGTTACTAAAAACCATCTGTTTTTTAAAAACCATGATAATGGACAGGTTTTTTTTAGCCTTTATATACTTTTTCAGTAGTATTCAATCTCCAAAATTAAAAATAGAAATTATTGCATTTTTAGTGTTTTATCTAAATAATTAGATCATGCAGTTATTGCCTGTGATGTTTATATCATCAAAAGGTTTGAAATTTGTAAAATAGCAAACTTATGCTTTTATTTTATTTTTTCATTTCAACAACTCTAAATAACAACTACCCTTTCAAATGATTTCTTTTTCTTTTTTTCTTCAAACTACTGATGTTGTATGAGGGTTTGACATGACATGCCTTTCAAAAACGTATTCTAATCACAAAATGGGATGAGTCTACTTTGTCAAGGTCATTAAAACTAACAAATGAACAATTTATGTATTAGCCAATGTTGATCACATTAAAATATTCAGAAAAACATAGTCTAACATAGATTCCAGGATGAGCTGGATTTCTCGCCCCTCAGACAGGGATATCCAATTTGATACTCCGTAGTAGATTTTACTATATTGCCTAATTATCTATCTGCAATTGATCTGCTACCATTCCGCGGAATTTTTACACACTGATGCATTCATCTTCGTGTGAATGCTTGAAATTGATAATCTGCATAATGAAAAATCTATTTTGCTGTTATATGTATTGTTTTGATGTTATTAACCGTTTGATCCCTAGGTAACTTTAGTAGACTTTACCACAGATTTATTTAGATGAGTTCATTATGGTTTATAATGGTGAAAGGGTTAAGATTCATAATGATGTAGATAAATTTTTCTCTACAATGTGAAATACATTTTTTTTCTTTGTAAGGACAGACTACATTGTTCACGCAGAAGCATCTAAACGTTGCTTAAGTAGTGAAGAGGCCAAATTTTATTTAAGGCCCCAGATGGGATACTTGTAGACGAAATTGAATATGTTTTCAAACTAAAAGGTACAATAAAAGAAATCAATTACCTGTAACTAAGCAAGATTGGGTTATCTCAGTCTCGGTTTAAAAATGATGTAACTTCTACTAATAATTATTATCATATTACAGAATCGTAGCCCGACTGATATAACAGATCTCGCTCAGTGACAGGTAATAGATTCAATTAATCTTGGCACTTTCAGTGGTTGAATATAACAAAAGATACCATCTTCAGTAAGATTCATCATTTCGGAAACATGCAATATCAAAGTTTTACTTTATACATGAAAAATCTGCTGCAATGTTTAAAGACAACAATTTGCTGCAATGTTTATAGACAATAATTTGCTGCAATGTTTAAAGACAACAATTTGCTGCAACGTTTATAGACAATAATTTGCTGCAATGTTCAAAGACAACAATTTGCTGCAATGTTTATAGACAATAATTTGCTGCAATGTTTCATGATTGACTGGTCCTTTAATTTGTCAATTTATAAATGAGTGAGCGATTTGTAATGTTAACCTGTACAACAATGTGATGAAATTGTAAACTTCCTATGTCGCACGAAACGGGACTTTTCGCCTATCCAGGGTGTATACACATTAACAGATCATGCTTACACCTAAAATCACATCGTCGATTGGTACAATGCCTAAAATAGTTGAAAGGGAACAACATACAAAAACGAAGGAAAGAAGCAATCAAAATCAGACAACTAAAAACATAAACATTAGAGTTGAGAGGAACACCAGTTAAGTCATCTGTGTGACCCACTACTGACCGACACACGTGAAGGGGCTAGATCTACATCCTACCAGTAACCTATTAGATACAGTGTCTATACACTCTCTATTGATAGGCGAAATGTCCCATATGTCAAGTAATATATCAAGTTTTCAATGCCATTACATCTTTGTACATGTTGCAATACAAGTACAAATCACTCACAAAATCATACTAGCTAGCTTGACAACGAGAACCAGCAGTCTTGATACATTGTCACATTTTCAATATGTACATTGTTTGTGTATCTAGTAAAAGTTGGATATCACAAAAGATACTATCAGATGACATTCTCTAATCACACGTGCACTGTGTCATTCAAACTTATGATCAGCATCAGATATACTCACGAACAAATACAGTTCAACATTTTAACATGACCCAGCATTTCTTTTTATTTATAGTAATTGTAAATATATCAGTCATAAAAAAATTCTTCAATGCACTAATCTAAATACAACACTAAAATTGTTGACATACAATATACATCAAAAAGGGTTATTAATGCCTGTCGGCCATGTTGTTTATTCGATCAGTCTCAAAAGCTGCCCTGCACAGCTTAGGACCAAGGGGAACCGACATATTAAATTTGAGAAAGATCCCTTTGGTACTTCCCGAGAAATAGCGATAACAAACTTTCACTATCAAAATCCAAGAAGGTTCAAGGTGTTACACATTTGTGCTAACATTTGATTACACTAGTGTAAGTATATTAACAGTATTTTGTTGTTAGCAGTTTTTACAATTTCATGTTTGTATGTTTCCAGTCTACTGGACAGTATTTGATACTTGTCCATTTGCTTCTGTAAGATGAACAGATTACTTTTGTACACATATATTGTACTGTATTAAACAGCCTATGGGTTAGTTAATTATGACAAATAGCTCTGAATATATCAGCCATTCCAAGAAGTAACATTGCATTTAACAACAAGAAAATGACAAGTACTGCCATATTATCATTTACTTCTTATTCCCTTTATTTAAGGTGTGATAGAAGCAGCGCCACCTGTATGCTTTACATGGGTTAGCTGTGAATTAGAAATAATCTTTCTATATAAGTGATTACACATGATAAAGTATGGTGATCAGTAATTCTCTAGACTGAAGTTAGAGTACAAGTTGATACTATGGGTATAGTTATGGTCTCCTTATAATTATTATAATCCAGATGAAAATGAATACCATATGCAATTTCCGTTTCATAGATTTTCCTGGATCATTATGAAATAATTTTGAGTAAATCTTTGAAGAGGTCACTACTGGCTATATTGAGCACAACAGCAAACTATTTTCAAGAGTCATTTTGTCAGCATTTCAACATATTTCTATCTTTTATGACACAATATAAGAAGATGGAGCCACAAATGTTATGCCCTAATTAACGATGTGTGACAAACGATATACCTGGAGTGGACTCCTGATAACATTCTCACCTCACTACACAATCACCTATCAATAATTCTAGGTACCGTAAATATTCGCGTATACTGCAAACTTTATCGTAATTTATTCAGTGATTTTTTGAAAAAGTTGCAAGGTTTAAGTCATATTATATGGTATAATTATCAGGTCTAATAATTGACATTAGGTTTTTCCAGATAAAATCTCAATATTTTCTACATTTTTTTTTTTTTATATATATATATATATATCTTTTTACCCAAAAAGTACCTGCCCACTGTACACGAGTGTGCATAATACGGGAATATTTTAAGTATCTGACCACAACCATGCAACCAACAGTTAACAGTCTGCATTAACATGATCTTCAGAGAATTTAATAATGTTATATGAATTATATGATTACATAAACAATGACATTCTCCGTGTATATGATGTGTAAGTGATCCACCAAACCCATGCCATCGCTGATTACTGCCAAATTTACACTTCAAGCTGCAAAATCATCACAATTCAATCTAGACAATACAGTAACAAATACCTGAAAATTTCAATTGTTAATTTCTTCAAACTTCCTCCAAATCTATTTTAAACATTCTGATGCTAAAAGTGTCTCACTTTGGCACATATCAGTAAAGTTTCATCATCATAGTTATATCCTCAGCAGGTAGTATACCCTATACCCAGAAAGGTTTGCCAAAGTTCTCACCTTCCATAATGAATTGATCATCACAGTTGATATTAGTAAACAGCATATCATACCTAGTAATTCCACGCCGATGTACTGGTAACATGGTAAAACTCTCAGTATACAGTTTTTAGTAGATAAGTAGATATATGTTTGAGCTGTAGCAGCAAAAGCAGTACCACTTGCCTGTTAATACTAGTGTCATACACAGATATAGAGACTACTTGTAGATGATAGTGATACAAAAACCAAAGCTGTTAAAAATAACATAAAAATAACATAAAAATGCATCTGAAAACTAAGACAGGCTCACAGCTTACCTTGTAATCTAATTTTACCTAAAGGCTATTTCAAACTTACTTGTACAAGGGAGAGGAATGCACTTTCATAAATAATGCAAGGACTACTGAAAACGTAATTATATGAGAGGGAGGGGGGGGGGTACATTTTTCTTAACAATGTGGGGGTGATTGGTTGAACCAGATCTAACAAAATAAGTGATAGTGGGGTTTTTTTCTTCGCTAGCTCTCCCTTAAACTGTCACGATATTAAAGATGATACATGTACATAAAATATTCATTAAAAATCATTCTTTCTACGGCAACATAGCCCCAAGCCAGTACCCATAACAAACTAGCAACAAACAAATCATAGATACCTAAGTGATCCTGTCACATAGGGAGCCACTTTGCTGTAAAGTTGTCACTTTATTACTCTGGTGTCGTACAAACTCTTTCAATATCTTTATGTCGTGTCACTGACATTATTTCTTAATCGGCAAAGCATTCAAACTTGTGCAATACAAAATGACAAATCTACTAAATGCTAAATATTGGAATCAAAATTCATAGCTTTAATAAGTATACATTTCATTATTGCATACATGAAGTAATAGATTTTCAGTAAAATTAGTTTTAATATTCAATATATTTTGTTTCTAAAAGTTGTTCATGCTGATAAATTACCTGTCCTTCTGCCTGTATTTTAAAAGAAAACATTACCTTAATTCTATCCCAATACTAAAGAGATATTCTCCCAAAAATGAAACCCTTTTATGTTCACAAAAACATCTTTTCATAAAATCCATTTATATGAATTATTAACAGTATATAAAGATAATCAGACCTATTTCATAAATCTATTGCCATGAATATACTTGTAGCATAAAAGTTATTGCAGTTTATTTCTTTTTCATGACAATTAACACAATCCCTGCTGAAAGGCAGTGCTATTTTTTGCATTTTACTGTGCAAAGTTGATTTGATGGCTTCACAATTGTTTGGTATGAAGTGGCATTTTCCCAAATTGTTTGCCATCATTTCAAATTCCCAGACTCAGACTTTCCACCTATCCTAGTGGAATTCCTTTATAGATCTTTGTAAAACTGACTATCACCTATCTTAGAGGAATTCCTTTATAGATCTTTGTAAAACTGACTCACCTATCTTAGTTGACTTCCTTTATAGATCTTTGTAAAACTGACTATCACCTATCTTAGTGAACTTCCTTTATAGATCTTTGTAAAACTGACTATCACCTATCTTACAGGAATTCCTTTATAGATCTTTGTAAAACTGACTCACCTATCTTAGTGGAATTCCTTTATAGATCTTTATAAAACTGACTATCACCTATCTTAGTGGACTTCCTTTATAGATCTTTGTAAAACTGACTATCACCTATCTTAGTGAACTTCCTTTATAGATCTTTGTATCTTAGTGGACTTCCTGTTCTGTGATTATTTGATGAAAAGATTTTCACACATTCCTTCCCTTATTTTGGTAACATGAATTGTGTCAAGCAGAGCAGATAACAATTTCAAAATCATAAATAAAGTGAGAGAAATGTAAAAGGTAAAAGAAAATCAATAATGATATTGTTTAAATGAACCAAATGATACTTTACACAGTGATGGTACTGACCTTGGTGTGAAGGAGCTCTTGCCCCATGTTCTGCTCTTGTGCTCGTAGGAGCCTGGTGTATGAATAGGTCCAAGCATACTGCCTGGCACTGCAATCATAACAGTCAAAAGTCATATATCCTGGTAGTGACAATGGTTCTATTTCCTATCATGGAAGTATTGACATTGCAACCATTACAACAACAGCTCTTATTTTTAAGTACAGTCAGCGCTTTGATCCAGATACAGCAAGATAATTACATTTTTGCAAGTGAAATATTGGATTCTATCAACTTGATCAAGTTGTTATTAATCTTCAGTAATAACAACTTAAATATATCTGACGAGTGTGGCTAATATTTTGATGTTTTTCACTCGTGCGTATCAATATTAGCTACACTTGTCAGATATATTTGTTATTACTGAAGACACCATTAAATATCCTCTGTTTCATTAATTGCAAGGGTGAAACAATGTAGGTTTTTTAACTGAATCACTAAATTCACTATGTTTAACCCTAATTAAAAATCTCTTTTTTTTGCATAACAATCTATTTCACTCGAAAAACTTCTTCAGGTTATCTAAATCAGCAATACCATCCTTTTTACTATTTCTTCTGGACCTGATTTAAATGATGCTAACTAATTGTAACAAGCAACAAAACAATGATGCAGTGTGATTGGGTAGGGAATAAAATCAACAAGCCATTGGCCATGTCCAAAAAACTAAGACCAGAAAGATTACAAGAAACATCAACTAATATGCAGACTACTTTAATGGATAGAGATTTCTACAGTTTAATCTCAACCTAGCACTCAGTTCTGTCATCAGTACCAACGATTGGTAAGAGAAACAAAAATTGATAGGCCATTGGCCACACTTAACTGGAAATCAGTGTGCCATTTCAAACCAGCCATTTGGATTGATATGTCTAGTCTGTGCCCCACTTTGACCATCAATGCACATGTCAAGTTTGGTTGGTCAGTGAAACTAACTTAAACGCAAAAACGTAAAGATGATGGAGATGCTGAGAAAGTCAATGGACCACGAAAGGTAGGCTGCATCCAGCATTTGATCCATGGGTTGAGATGTACTACCTAAGATGCATCTATGGTTCAAGTTTGGTTGTTGTAGCACTTATACTTTTAGTGAAACTAACTTAAACACAAAAACTTAATATTGACGCCGTCGCTGAAAAGCAACACTTTAGTCTAGCTTCCACTACTTTCTGTCGGCAAGACAAAAATCATGAGCCTTGGAAAAAATTGATGAGCCAGAAAAACAAGTACAAAAAAACAACTAAGTAAATGAAAAATGTGCGTCTCTATGATTATACTGTCTGTCTGTCATATCAAGCAAGTCCTCAATTATGTCATCAATACAATACACAGCGGTTTATCGGGCATGAGTGGTGTGGTTGGGAAACAGACCCAGGGATGAAATCGCGACGTTATAGCGAATTTGGCATATCTCAATAATCGTTGTACAAACTCTGAACACATGAGTTAGATTGCTTAACTTTAATTTAAGCCTATCTTTATGACAACATGATCAATATGTCCTTCCTACATACGCTGCATTTTGAGAACCCAGTGAATCGAAAGGAAATTATTTATATTGATGCTTTTTCTTTTTTTGATTTCCCAATTGGGAATTCTAAATGATAAATTGGGAAAAATCAGACCCTTTTTTGGAATGGGGTCATTTAAACGGACCCAGAAAGTATCCTGATAAACCCCTGATATAATATCATCATGCTGCATTTCCAAGCAGCGTCATTGAAACATTACTCAAGACATGCTTGATATGAAAACTGAAAGTAATTCTTTCAGTTATGAAATATTGATATAAATTGCATTTTTAAGCAATTTTCCAAATTAATATTCATTGGTTTATGTACAAAATGCTACAAGGGCTAGTATCACAATTATTGTACGATATGCTACGAATGGCAGTATCACTATAATTCAATGATTGACTTTGGAAGCTTCTTACGATCCCTAATTTATATGACAAAGTACAATGTTTTGGTTATAGTTCGTCAATGTGCTCATAGATAGTCACAGACCGAGTGATTTTAAGATTCTTTCGACTTTATAGCAATATTTATTTCAGACCATTGGAGCGTGAAAACATAATTGTACTGAAAGACATTTTTTTCTGAACAATGAACTTCATTTCATATATCAATATCTGACTGAAATAAAACAATTGTCAGATGGTCCAAAAATATTTTAGACATTATGATGACAAGGCACACCCTCAGCATCCATGGTGGCAAGAAAAAGCATATTAGATTGCAAATGACTTGTTTAATGCCTGTTGCCTAATACTCTAAATTATCTACAGGAAATAACTGGCATCTGTGGATATATATACCTGCTCTGGTGTCTGGCCTCATACTCTAAATTATCTACTGGAAATAACTGGTATCTGTGGATATATACCTGCTCTGGTCTCTGGTGTCTGTGGGGTGTTGAACTGATTTGGATAGAGGTTCTCCTCGTCAATGTTGAGGAAAGACTCCCAGTAATCTATTGGGATGTCGAACAGTCTCTCCATCACCTGTATAAACATAACATTAAGTTAGGGATAGATTATGGGCCAGTCCAGGCACCGTCTTTCTCAAATGTTCTTCAACGTAAGAAATTTTCTAGAGTAAACGTTGATTTAACAGGATACATAAATAAGACATTCAAAAACCTACAATATATTCGGGTTGAAAATTGCAACTTGATAAAAGGTCTTTTTCATGATTAATATTGTACTGAAACATTCTGATTTTGATAATGAAAACAAGTTTCTTAGTGATAATATATTAATCAATTTAAAAAAAAAAACACACACATTATGTTGTGACGCTTGTTCATTCCCTTACATTATCTTGTTGGACACTCGAGTTCAGTTTTCAAGCTGGTCAGGTTGATCGGGAAATCTGAACGGTGACAGCCATTTCCTCAATCTTTTGTGACCTCAACACTGATTGGCTTCTAAAATGACGAGCCAATCAGCTTGAGGTCACAAAAGTGTAAGAAATGGCTGTCACCGTTCAGATTTCACGATCAACCTGACCAGCTTGAAACCTGAAATCAATTGTCCAATATGATAATGTTAGGGAACGACCAATCAAACAAGAAAGTTTGGTTCCTAGCACAGAAACAATGTACTGACATTGAACATTAGGATTTTAGCGTGTCATCCTGGGAATAGCAGTGTCCGACAAACCAACCGTTTTTCGATGTTTCATGTAGTCTATTTTCCTGTTGATATAGACTACTTCTGGCATGACACTAAGAACAGTTATGACAAAATCGCATGTTTTGTGGAACGGTCATTTTACTAGCGGGACAGAGTTAGCAACCTTGTTTATATTATAAGTATATTGACAGACAAGGCAAGTAGTACCTGTGTCACATGTATGCTGGTCTCGAAATGAAAAACTACCAACAGGGGAACCTACATATCAAATTTGAGAATAAAATCTATCAAATCTATCTATCTATCTGATAAGTCTAAAAATGCAGATATTGTGACAACAAAAATTGTATCTCAGTAATTAAAGAACTTTTTCAAAAAATACTTTTAACACTTATATCCAATGTAGGTGTCATATCAGGAATCTCATTTTGTACTTACCATGCTCTGGTACTTAGTCTCATTTATCATCATAAGAGGCTCGGGGTCGGCCACTGAATAGCCGATGATCGTGGGGCCAAATACCTTGGCCAGGTTACTGGTCGGCATCTTACACTCATGACATTCACCCACCCTGTAAGGAAAGGGAAACACAAATATTAACTGTTTCCATGAAAATCATACATATTACGTGGAAATATCATTGTGTGTGAGCTGTGTACACAAACAACATTTACAAAGTAATAGTGATGCTGTACACAAACAACATTTACAAAGTAAAAGTGATGCTGTACACAAACAACATTTACAAAGTAATAGTGATGCTGTACACAAACAACGTTTACAAAGTAATAGTGATGCTGTACACAAACAACATTTACAGAGTAATAGTGATGCTGTATACAAACAACAGTTTACAAAGTAATAGTGATGCTGTATACAGACAACAGATTACAGAGTAATAGTGATGATGTATACAAACAACAGATCACAGAGTAATAGTGATGCTGTATACAAACAACAGATCACAGAGTAATAGTGATGCTGTATACAGACAACAGAGTAATAGTGATGCTGTATACAAACAACATTTACAAAGTAATAGTGATGATGTACACAAACAACATTTACAGAGTAATAGTGAAGCTGTATACAAACAACAGTTTACAGAGTAATAGTGATGCTGTATACAGACAACATATTACAGAGTAATAGTGATGCTGTATACAAACAACAGATTACAGAGTAATAGTGATGCTGTATACAAACAACAGTTTACAAAGTAATAGTGATGCTGTACACAAACAACATTTACAAAGTAATAGTGATGCTGTATACAATCAACAGATCACAGATTAATAGTGATGCTGTATACAGACAACCGATCACAGAGTAATAGTGATGCTGGATACAAACAACATTTACAAAGTAATACTGATGCTGTATACAGACAACAGATCACAGAGTGATAGTGATGCTGTATACAGACAACCGATCACAGAGTAATAGTGATGCTGTATAAAAACAACAGATTACAGAGTAATAGTGATGCTGTACACAAACAACCTTTACAGAGTAATAGTGATGCTGTACACAAACACCATTTACAAAGTAATAGTGATGCTGTATACAATCAACAGATCACAGAGTAATAGTGATGCTGTATACAAACAACAGATGACAGAGTAATAGTGATGCTGTATACAAACTGCAGTTTACAGAGTAATAGTGATGCTGTATACAAACAACAGATTACAGACTAATAGTGATGCTGTATACAATCAACAGATCACAGAGTAATAGTGATGCTGTATACAGACAACAGATTACAGAGCAATAGTGATGCTGTATACAATCAACAGTTTACAGAGTAATAGTGATACTGTATACAAACAACAGATCACAGAGTAATAGTGATGCTGTATACAATCAACAAATCACAGAGTAATAGTGATGCTGTATACAGACAACAGATTACAGAGTAATAGTGATGCTGTATACAATCAACAGATCACAGAGTAATAGTGATGCTGTATACAAACTGCAGTTTACAGAGTAATAGTGATGCTGTATACAAACTGCAGTTTACAAAGAAATATTAAAGCAAGAATTCTGAGAAATAGCACTAACAATAATTGTTTAAGGATGGGCAGCGGAATGACGGACGGACAGACAGACAGAGGGTAATTTGAATAGCCCACCATCTGATGAGGGTGGGCTAAAAATCTGGACTTTGTGGTAAGTTCAATACATCGAGGAATTTTAATCATCCGATTTCAATTATGGATATGGTTTATCTATATAGCTAGTACCCCATCTTGGATTTGGTCTCTCCAATTCCCCATGGAAATTATTTCATCACCCCCTAGAATATTGTTTCTCCGTCACCCCCTAGGATGTGATTTCTCTATCACCCCCTAGAATGTGATTTCTCTGCCACCCCCTAGGATGTGATTTCTCTGACACCCACTAGGATGTGATTTTTCTGTCACCCCCTAGGATGTGATTTCTCTATCACCCCCTAGGATGTGATTTCTCTGCCACCCCCTAGGATGTGATTTCTCTGCTACCCCCTAGGATGTGATTTCTCTATCACCCCCTAGGATGTGATTTCTCTGCCACCCCCTAGGATGTGATTTCTCTGCCACCCCCTAGGATTACTCCCATAACATGAGAGGCCGCTGGTCGGCCTTTTTTCAATCGGATATGATTTTGCCGACTGAGACCTCTCATTTCCGAAGCACTAATTCTTTGATGCAGTTTCCGCCCGAAATCCGGGCGGAACAAAATCGGCTTGAAAAACTCACATAAGTGGTTAACAGTTCATGACAACGATGTCTACTCACGGTTTATATAATATAGATCTCATATATATGTCACAGACACAAATATATAGTATATTACGGAATAGAACACTCAAAATACATGTCCATGTCGTTGTAGCACATCTCTGACCTACATTTAAAACATGGCTTCTGGATTAATACAAAATATCAGGGGGGATTTCAAACGGAACGAAATGATACGGAGTTTGTTTGTATTCCGCTTGTGAAACATTACATGTAATCCATTTTTGTATTAACCGGAAAAATCATGGCAAATGCTGTCTGCTTCGCTTCGAATGAGGAAAAACTCATTATTTATGTCTTTGACATGAAATTTTTCTCATATAATCATGGATTTATGGAAAGGAATATTTATTGGACCCTTTTGACCATTTAAATGTATGTAAACACGATATACTCTTTCTTAATCCGAACTTTGAAAATGTGATAGTCAGCATCGGGAAAATCAGCTATGGGCAGTTAGAGGTTACGCGGCGCCTGTCAAAAGTTTTTCGCCGTGTAAAACCTCTAACATTGTTGGAGTACCCCTAGGATGTGATTTCTCTGCCACCCCCTAGGATGTGATTTCTCTGCCACCCCCTAGAATATTGTTTCTCTGCCACCCCCTAGGATGTGATTTCTCTATCACCCCCTAGGATGTGATTTCTCTGCCACCCCCTAGAATATTGTTTCCTTTGTCACCCCCTAGGATGTAATTTCTCTGACACCCATTAGGATGTGATTTTTCTGTCACCCCTTGGGATGTGATTTCTCTTGTCAACCCTTGGATGTGGTTTATGTCACCCCCTAAGATGTGATTTTTCTGACACCCCTTGGGATGTGATTTCTCTTGTCAACCATTGGATGTGGTTTTATGTCACCCCCTAGAATGTGATTTCTCTATCACCCCCTAGAATATTGTTTCCTCTGTCACCCCCTAGGATGTAATTTCTCTGACACCCACTAGGATGTGATTTTTCTGTCACCCCTTTGGGAGGTGATTTCTCTGTCACCCCTTGGGTGGTGATTTCTCTGCCACCCCCTAGGATGTGATATCTCCGTCACCACCTAAGATGTGATTTCTATTTTTCCCACCCTTCACTGTTTTAGGAGGGAAAGATCAGCTTATCACCCGCTAGGGGGAGATAGCTTTGTGCCGATTACCACATGTTCAATTTGACGTCATTCAAATGTGTCACCGGTAATTGTGACATCATCAAAAATGCATGACGGTAGTCATACCCCACAGGAATTTTTGTTTATAAATAAGGCAGACGACTGTCGTCGGAGTTGTGACTGAACCTCAGGGTAATATTTTTTGGGTTATCTAACCCCCAGCAGAGCCTCAGGTTAGACAACAAACAAGAGGCCCAGAGGGCCTATATCGCTCACCTGAATATTTAAGCAGTCATAGCAAATTATTATCATTAAAAAATACATTGCACTACAAATAAATATTTCCTCGCAAACTTTGTCCACTCCATCTGTTTAAACTACCAGCCAAATATTATTATAAGATTCTATGCTTTTTGGTTCTTCTTCAGAATTAATTGACATATTTTCCCCTGTGACCTTGTAAGTAGGTCAATGTAATTTTCCTTCTAAAACTTTGTAAGCTCTATCCAAAGAAGCTACCACCCAAATCTTATGAACCCATTTCTTTTGGTTCTTCAGAACAAATCATTTGAAATGTTGTTGACCTTTGTGACCTATAAAGTAGATTGAGGTCATTTTCATTTGCAAACTTTGGTGAGCTCTATCCCAGTAAGCCACCAGCCAAATATTATAATTGTATGCCTTTCAATTATTCAGAAGATGTCGTTTGATGTTTTTGACATATTTGACACATGTCAGGCTCTATCTCAGGAAGCCAACAGCCTAATGTGAAGATTCTTACCTTTCTGTTGGGCTCCTACCAACGAAGCTTTTAGTCAAATATCATGGCTCTATGCCTGTTCGTTCTTCAGAGGAGTTGTTTAAAAGAAAAGTTGACGGACGACTGACGGACCATGACATAAGCTCACTTACCCTTTGGGCAGGTGAGCTAAAAAACATCGCCCCTCGGGTAGGAGATTTTTTGTCACACTCTCAAGGTAGGGGAAGATTCTACTAGTCAACCACTATGATGTGATTTCTATTTCTCCCACCCTTCACAGGTGTCTCCTGTTTAAATCACTTAATGTCCAACAGTTTAGCTTCGATGCACGTGTCACAGTATCGTTATGATTATCTCATCATGATTTATAAACCTGAAACACGCCTGTCAATTGAACATTATGGGTTAAATATCTGTCATTTTTTTAGGATAGATTCGTTTGAGGAAAACATTGCTGGGTGTCAATATCTAATTTGTCTGCTGAATTCCTGAAGAATTTGTTGGTTCCAGGATCTAGTAGGTAGTGGGTATGGAGAACAAAAAGGGAAATTTTTACAAATTCCGATGCCAGAGAATTGCCGATCAACATAAGTTTCGAAATCTCAGCATTTCCCCCAAAATAAACATGACAATGTAGTTGTTCAATTATGGCTCCATTCCATGTAAGTTATTGGGTGTTTTTTTCAAAACGCTAAGCATGTTCCCAGCTCACTATCATGTTAATCTCGCGTCAAACACTTTGTAAACACGTGATCGAAACCTCGTTAATTATTTCAATATTCATTAAAAGAAGCATCATAAAAAAAGGTCTTCTGCTTTGATTTATTTTCCATTGAGTAAATTTGAAGAGGATGTATTGAATGTCCACACTTCTAGTATAAACATATTTTTTATAATCCCTTTTCTGTCAAAACAGTCTGTAGTTCTAACAGTGCAGTAGGGCCAGGCGTTGGTGTGTAAAAAAAACACAGTCCCTCGATAGAAACTGCAAATAATTTCAATTACATTTCAGTAGAGCTATTGTTAATCGGTTATCACAGATATAGTGTAAGCTAATTACTGCGTTGTAATTAGTATCAACTGTGGTGTTGAGAAGTGTCGCTGAAGCATGGCGATCCTACCTGGCCTATTGTCTGGGACCAAACATCATGGCGATCCTCCCGGGCCTATTGTCTGGGGCCAGACATCATGGCGACCCTACCTGGCCTATTATCTGGGCCCAGACAGCAACGCGCTCCTACCTAGCCTATTGTGTGGGACCAGACATCGTGGCGATCCTACCTAGTCTATTGTCTGGGACCATACAGCATGGCGATCCTTCCTAGCCTATTGTCTGGGGCCAGACATCATGGCGATCCTACCTGGCCTATTGTCTGGGACCAGACATCCTCAGTAGTTATGCCCTTCGGTCAACTTGCCTGTAAAAATGTTACCTGTCACCAAATCAGCAGTCATGACCACAGATGACCAATTTTAATCATTTTATAGGAGGTAAAAATTGTGTCCCCAAAAAATGCAGCCAACTGAATTTTTTACCACCAAATCTGTGTAGTGTAGTCATTTGGCGAGTTGCCGGTCATTAATGGGAGCCCTGTATCACCACCTACATCATGATTTCTCTGTTACCCCTCGGACTTGATTTCTGTTCCTACCTAGGGGGTGATTTCTCCATCAGTGTTTTAGCTAGCAAGGTAGGGGGAAGTTCCATTAGTTAATATATTTGACACTTTGACTTGCATTTACCTGATTAGATGAAGAATGAGGAAGGCTAATGTGTCCCTGTTTGGTTGTGGCAACTGACTGATGGCCTGGTACAGTTCAGACTCCCCCATAGCATGGTCACGGTTCGCTGGAAGAGGATGAATTTTACTTATCTTTATTTTTGTTTAACATAAGTACATTTATATAATATTAGTAATACCATCACGAAAATAACAAACACTAGTATTTGCTGCAAGTGTAATGTCACACACTATGACATCAAAAGAAACTAGAGATTTGTTTTTGTGAACAAAATGTATGTCTCACAGACAACATATTCCTGAAAACTTTGGCTATATTTGACCTTTACCTTGGGGTGAAGGTCACACTGACCTAATGAAAATTTGCATTGCATATTATCTATGGGTGATGCAGGTATACTTCAAGTTTTATCAAGATATATTTAAAGTTTTTGTTGAATATCAATTATACATGTATATTATAGATGATGATGATGATATATGGACGAATATAGTGATAAGATGATGATGATGATGATGATGATGATATATGGATGATGATGATATATGGACGAATATAGTGATAAAATGCTTATGATGATGATGATGATGATGATGATGATGATGATATATGGATGATGATGATGATATATGGACGAATATAGTGATAAGATGATGATGATGATGATGATGATATATGGATGATGATGATGATGATATATGGACGAATATAGTGATAAAATGATTATGATGTACGGATGATGATGATGATATATGGAAGAATATAGTGATAAGATGATGTACAGATGGATGATGATGATGGTATGAATTTCACTATTTCAACATGTGTGAATGTGTGTATGTGTGATGATGTCCTGTGTATTGTACATGTACTGTAAAAAAAAAAATTTTAAAAAAAATTAAAAAAAATATATATATATATATATCTCTTTAATGCTTTAAAAGTTATAGCCCAGAAAAGATGATCATGAAAAATTCCACATTTTTTACCTTTGACCTTGGGGGGAAAGTCACAATGACCCATGGCCAATGACAGTTATAATTGCACATTGGCCATGGGTGATGCAGGTATACTTTCATCAAAATATCTTGAACACCAGATCTGAAGTTCATATATGAAATGGTAGACAACATATGCTACAAAAACCTTTATTTCACGGTGTTCATGAACTTGATGTCAAGGGCAAAGGTCAAATAGAGGTCACAGTGACCTTGTTTTAAGATGCAACACACCGCCTTCCCATGATATACAAAATTGATTTCATTCATGAAAAAGTGGCTAAGATATGCTCTGAAACCACAGCTGGCATGGACAAACAGACAACATGAAGCAGAGGTATGAAAATTTAGACCTCTTAGTTAGCAGGCGTCTTGCAATTTTGAATTAAAGCAAGATTTCATGCTGAATAAGACTATTCATGGCCCTACCTGCAGCACTTTTGAAGTCCTTCCACAGAGCATAGGTGATGACAGGCTCCTTGAGGCCTCGCAGGAAATCCTTCAGACAGCCACACACCACATTGATGTCATCAATGTGGGACTGAACAGACAACAGTCCCAGCTATACATTTATTTATGATTCAAAGCAATGGCAAGTTCTTGGCATTACTATTTGCAACTTCCATTTTTTTATCACCAAAACAATTACATCTTTTTTTAAACAGTTTTAGTCACATAAAAATTATTTAATTATTTTTTTCTTTCCAGAATTTAAGAAAACAGATTATAATTTAGGAATTTCCAAAAGGCTAATGGCTCATCAAAAAAAGCTGAACTTTGTATGGATATTTTATTTTGACTAAAACACCATCAATGTTCATGATATTATTATTATCATTCTTGAATTTCCATACATCTGATGATTCATGCAATCTGCTACTCACCATATTTGGTACTCCTCTTCCTTTGAAAAAATCTTTTTTCAAATCCTTTACCTGTGAATCAGCTCTGTTGCCAAAAAAATCAAAAATATTCAATGACATGAAGATAGGCTTGTTTTTTTCCCCTACATATTAAACATTTGCATTAGCCAAGCTGCGCCCTAGCATCTTGGACTAGAAGATTTCATGTCTAATGAACATGTTTTATTATGCAGACCGTCTGCTATTCACTATGTAAAATTCCTTATACTAAAGCAGTAATTCTCCATAATTTTAGCATTGTTGTACCAGACCTCAAGATTACGGGTTTTTTTAAAAGTATAATGGAACACGAAGAATGTGTTGAGTGTGAAATAAAATGTACATATGTGCACAAACAGGTTTTTGCCAGCTATTTTGGGAAAGGGCCGCTGAGCAGAAATTGAGAAAATATAAGTTTGGAAAAAATAACACCTACAATGTGATAAGCAAAAAGTTTTCCTCTAACTGTTTCTTACAGTAAAGTGTATAGCAATAAATAAAAACATCAATTTCCCTGTTTTTGTTTATTCAATTTCAAATTCATTATTTATGTATTTTGAATGCTCCTTCATGGACAGTAATATCATTGAACAAAGCACCTATAACGCTTCGAAACTTGTATAAACATACTTTTTTAACCATTTGGAAAAATAAACATACTTTTTTAACCATTTGGAAAAATAAAGACTGAAATTGGGAAAATGCAGGGTTACTTTTCAAATGAGAATGGGTCACCACTGTACTGGACCCTATAAGTACCTGGTAAAACCCGGATAAAGTAGGGTTTTCTTACTGAAAAACCAGATGTGCTATTTCAGTCGTTCCAACAGATAAAACTGACCAAACCAGACAATGGCTTCAGGTCATGTCATTTTCAGCTACTGAAACTTTTGGTAGGAGTATTTCCAGTATCAGAATGATTTTAAGGGTGTTAGTTGATTAAATAGCCACTTTAACAAAGCCTTCAGGCTGTGACAGGGAATATCAACTTTTTTAGGTTGAAAAATCCTTCATAAGTATTTTCAGTGTTATGACATTTTAATGATGTATAACAATACTAATCCACTAAAAATTAATAAACCAGTTTTATTTAGTTAAATGCAAGGCTCATTTTGACCTTTCAAGACATTTTCTATTGAATTGAGTTTCAAGGGTCTTTTCATCAATTTTAGAGGTTTTGAGGCCAACCCCTGTTTTTGTTTCAAGGCCTATACAAACCCTGAACTGTAATGACTATAGCTACCAGATCAGTGACTTACCCTGGAACCCTGTACAGTCCCACCTCCGACAGTCCTCGTGCCTCTACTTCATTAACACAGTGAACCTGTAATACACAAATCACAGCTTACCAAACCCTTTCTACCATTTCATGTTCATGTCTCATTCTAAATGTGTTTCAAGATTTCTATCATTCCATAATACTTGAGGACACAAGACTTATACCAGGACTGTTTCCCAATTTCAAATATTATGTTCCTCATATATATTTCAGTGTAACTTAACAAAGACCCACAGACAATCACCATTAAAAAGCACTCTAGGTCTGGAAATTATTTACTACGATTTCATTTTACCTCATGTATGATTCAATGGGAAGTTAAGAAGTGAGGGAAAATGTGCTCTGAAAATTAATATTTCTTTCATTATTATTACTTATCACCTTAATTTCAAAATTCAAACACAGACTATGTCACTATTTATTTCAGTTATGTTTTCTAGGTAAAGATCTGGTCTGAACATTTCAGCTATTCCTTTGTTGTCCTGAATTCATCAAAACAAATATACAACACTAATGTTGTTGTCCTATCAGATACACATGATATGCAAATCTCCAAATACCATGTGTTCACTTTTTTGCAATGTTTAAGGGTGGATGAAATATCAGGTGGACTATTTCCCCTTACCACAATAGCTGGAATCATTGGTGGGTCAATGGGTGCATAGTCGGTCAGCAGGCCCTGTCAAACACAACACCTTATACAGATTTTTGCAAAAAATAAACCAACAATTTGTATCTTTCATCTAATTCATGATTAGAAGCAATTCTGAAACTATTTCAAATGCTGATATCTTATATGTTCAATTCTTATAAAATAAAAGATTGTGTTCTTACAAGCAAAAAGGTCACTAGTATTACTTTAAGATGCTACAGCAATATAAAGGGAGCAATCACATTGTTCAAAGTCTTAACCCATGATCGTTAAAAATTGGCAAATGATTGCAATTCAAAATCAGCTCTGTAATCTATATTACAGCATGATCACATGAACAATGAGGAGGATCTGGGTTATTTGAAAGATCTGCTCTTGCGAAAAGTCAAAATTTCTGATTAAATTTTTCGAGGACATAAATTATTAAAAAGAGAAGAATATGTGAAAATAAAAATATACCAAGAAAACGATATGTCCGTGCGCTCCTGTTTTTTTAACGTTCAGTCAAACATACAAATTTCACATTATATCAGATTTTGTGTGAAATTTGTCAAACAAATTCATTCAATATCTTCATAATATGTTATTGGAAATCTATGAATTTTTGAACAATTGATGAAAATAGTATTATTGTCTTCCAATTTATAGAAGTAAAAAGGCACAAGATTTGAACATGATTTAAACCTCAGAAGAACCAATTCCTAATATTAAATCATTGGTGAAGATCTGAAGAATATCTGCTGACATGGAGAAATTGAGTACTTGCATTGATATGTTTGTTTCATGATCACAACTTTTCATGTTTAATATTCTTTACAACAACAAAAACATTTCTTCTGTGCACTTTTTAACACAGCAATTTTTATTCCAAATATTATTTTCAACTCTGATTTGTCAAATGCTTTCTTATTTTTACCCTGGCATGTATATTTATAAAATTTCTTCACAACAAAACTATAGTTGAACTTACACCCGACATTTTGCTAGTTCCCGGGGTGCTAGGACAGCAGGGCACACATGGTAAAGGAAGATTGTCCTTACAGTCTGGGTGACAGGTTGATTTGCAGTCTACAGAAATGATAATAATAATAATTAAATGATTGTTAAAGAAATATATTTCCATTTGCTCTGCTTTGCCACTACATAACTTTACCAAACAAAATAGAAAGATATATAACTATAACGTGCGTTATTCACTTTATCTGCAATTCTGTGAGAGTTATAGGACAATAACTTGCCAAAGAAGGCAGTTTAATGCTAAAATAGCTGTGGAAGTAGCCGATACTTTTATGTGACTGACTAGCCACAATAGAGGACTAAACCACTGTTAAATACCACAAAGAAACAGGTATTTCATGAACATCTAGATGTTTGATTAATTATGATCTATTATGTTTTTATTTGATAAAAAGAAACATGTATTGGTCAGTATGACTTACCTTTACATTTCATAGCAAGCTTGCCAAATCGGATTCTCTTTCCACACTGAAAATTGTAAAAGAAATATCAAAATATAAATTATATGTGTTTTGCTAACATATTTAAATCTTCTGAATCTAAAAACGTTAACATTGAAAACAGGACACCATACTATTTATCCCTACAGAACATCCATGTGAAGAATTTGAGATAGAATAGCCCAAAAGGACTGCTGCACTCAAACCATATAGTTACATATTTTGAGGTCAATCATTAAATATATTTTCAGTGGTAATTTTTTTCTTACTGACATAAACATATCAACCATTTACCTGATGTAAATGGGAATAATAAAGTACACTGCTTATGGTGGCTTTATTAGCCATTGTGTAAGATTTGTGTATACACATAAATCCAGATATTTTCAAAATTTAATATAATCCCTATTTAGTTGTAACAATCATAACATAAATGGGCTTGAATCATCACATCAACAAATTTCTCAGTGTACTGAAATTTATTTCTGTTTGACCCTGCCCCCTTGCTCTTTCTCTTCTTGCTAGGCACCTCAAAGATTATCAATCAACCAATTACTCATGATACACCTGATTGTTTTTAATGAATTATTATTTAGTGACTGTTATCTTAATTCATTTCCCCCCCCCCCTCGAGAATTTGTTGTAAATCCTATCAACACAACAACACTCACTGGGGCACATGTCTCTGGTTTGATGACTGTCTTGGAGATGAAAAAGTGGATCCTGTTCAATCCACGACCAGCAGAACTTGCTTTTCTCAGACGTGGTGTTCTTGGTCAACAAAGAAATGAAATAAAAAATTCTTGTCCAAATCTCTCACAGCCATATCTATGTAAAAGCATTCAAACATTCCCCTAAAATCAGAGATATCTGCAAAACTCAATTTCGAGTCCTGGAGTAATCATTACTTTTGGTGGAGACTTTCTGCAATTGCATTATTTTATTCCTGGTTAATAACCTACAATTTTTTAAAATCATATTTTAACTGACAGCAGTTTTAAGTTACCATGCCGCTTACCTTTGCCCTTTTTTCTTATCAGCATCATAAAAATAAAATTCTTATTTTTCCTAGATAGCAAAATTCATTAACTTTCCATTAGTACCCACACTCGAAATATGAAACATGTCAAAGATAAACAATTTGAGTGAAATTGAGCAATTTCTAAATTGCAACCAATCATAATCCTCTGTGTAGTTGCTATGGCAACAAAACATATGCGATTGAATTTAAGGTCCCCTAATAATCCTTTATACCAATTTTCATAAAAATTGAACAATATCCAAATTTCTACCAATCAGAAGCCACGTGTGGTTGCTATGGTAACGAAACCAATGCAATTTTATTCGCAGTCTCCTAATATCAATATATACAAATTTTCATCAAAATCAAACAATATCTAAATTTCGACCAATCAGAAGCCTCTGTGTGGTTGCTATGGCAACGAAACCTATGCGGTTGAATATGCAGTCCCCTATATACCAATTATCATCAAAATCGAACAATAAATAAATTTCGACCATTCAAAGGTTGCTGTCCGGCTGACCGATCGACAACAAAATACTCTTGCGCTTTTAACCCTGTGACAAAGTTTTAAGAAAATCATTTAACATTTGTTGTAGTTGTTGCACAGAAACAAAACCCAGCAGATTTTTACGTTTTTCGTTATTCAAGGGGCCATGACTCCACCAAATGGAGTCCGCTGAAAGTGGTCATCGAACTTGGCCGAGCCCTTTAGGCATTTAACCCTGTGACAAAGTTTGAAGAAAATTGGTTATTTGTTGTAGTTATTGCACGGAAACGAAGCGTGACAGACAGGCAGACTTACCCAAATTAATAGCCCCTGTTTCGGTGTAAACGGGGGATAAAAATGTGGCGTAAAGAGTTTGATAATTATAATGACCACAGCATGGACATGTATGATGTAAATAATGGCAATATCAATATTAAACATGGTTGACCATTCAAGAAGACATGAATACATCAATAATGCTTAAACAGATGAAATGATGAAGTTGCAAGGTTTTTACTTAAAATGGGAGAAAAGAATCAGCTAAGAGTATCATTCGGCATGTTTAAAGTGTAAACATTACCCCTGATCCAGTCAAAGACATAGCTGCCATTCATTTGGTTTTGCTCTCACGTGACCTCATGACTTTGTGTATGAATAATAATGACATAAACATAATTTAGCTGTTGATCAACTGTCAATCACACGATTCCACATGACAGTACTTTTAAAAATAGTGATAGTCAAATACTGGCAATGGACAAAATAATTTTACAAAGATACCTATACACCATCAACTGTGACTATCCACAAGCTAATCTGCCCTCCTAAAACAGGTTCTAATCCAATGTTATAAGCATTACATGTTCTGGGTCATGAATAAATTTTAGTCTTGGTTACTTTATACTTATTTTGTGCATCCATGAAGCCATGGATGCACCAAAATATCAGTAAATTTGAGTGCTGCTTATTCATTGTTATAGGCATGGAACAGCAAAAGGTAAAAGAACTGTTGTAACACTCACTTAGGAGTAGCTCCCTTCAGGATACCTCGAGATTTGCGCCGGGAGTTTTGATTTCTGTTGCCAGGTGTACCCATATAAGAATCCTCAGACTCGGGTTCACTTTCTGAAATAGAAAAGGATATCTTTGCAATAATTTAATGTAAAAAAAAAATGGTACAGGAACAAGATTTGTAAGCAATTCACAAGAGGCAATCAACTTACAATTTACGAGAAAAGGTTGGGACCAAGGACTGGTTTTGGATTGTTCTCGAGTATCGTGTACACCCCTTTCTTGACACTTCATTTTTTCTTAAAAAAGTGTGCACTATACACAAATATTAACGGTAGTCGTTGGTCAGACATAAAATATCTAAATCAGTCAATAGCAATATATAATACAACAGTTTACCCCTTCGAAACCTCAAAGGTGCCTGATTCATACTCGGAAGTTGAACAACTTTAGGTTATATGTTATTCCTGTGAAAAATTTGGAACGCCTTTAGGTTTTATGCTATTCCTGTTTAAAAACGAAATTGATATCCGAGTTATCCAAGAGCTTGTAATTAGCGCCTGGTATATTCCGAAAGAAGCAATACAGCCCAAGACAGCAAAGGTCAAAATCTGGGACTGAAACCGAAATTAATAGTCCCTACTGGGGTGGTTCCCCCAGGGGTGACTAAAAATAAGTCTCAAACATTGGGAATTTGTTGAAAAAAATACCTACTACTTCCATTGTTTTTTAAATCCAATTGAAGAAATTTGGTGTCTTGTGTTAATATTATTTTCATTAACACTCAGTTCAATCCCGACAACGAGAGAATTAGTTCCGGATTCAATGTCAGTGTCCGGTTTCAATTCTATATTCTCGCTTACATTTCCATTTTGTTAAACCAGGTTTCCGACTGTAGGCTTATGAACTAACAGCTCTTATGTGGCTATTTAATGTTTATACACACTGTCTTCACATAATAATTAGCAACTAGCCACCACTGGACAGGGGATCTCCGATTTAATTGCTTAACAGTCGGTGAGCATGACAGCATGCCATTCCCCGCGAAATTGGCTTGCCATTCACAATTTTCACACCTAGGATATGCTAATTGGCCTGGCCTATAATTTAAGTGGCTAGCCTGTGACTTAAGACCTCTCAGTGACCAAGGTCAGTGTGAATCTATGTAGCTATTGTTCATTCATTTAGATTTACGAAACTTTGTTTCTTTTCGTGAGACTGATTGAAAATTCATGAGAAATGGGCTTACACCTAACTTCAACCAACACGCTGGGTACATTGCAGTTTTAAGTAAATTTAGCATATTTAAACCTATCAGTATTTTTACAGAAATAGATCACTACAAGGCCAATATATCATAACCTTAACTGAAGGTAAATTAAATGTTAATGCAGAACTGATTATATTCTGCCATCCATGGATGGGGATATTTTTAACTGGAATACCCTGAGGTTAATGTTGCTGAATAGTCAAAAAAATGTCTGGCAATTTGTCTTTCACATCACAATCCATACCAACATCCCGAGCAGGACTATCCAGGTGTTTGTCCAGCGCTGGTTCACTGAAGCTTTTGTTGAGCGTCTTGGTCAGCGGGATAACCTCAGCTACAGCCCCAACAAGATGGCCATTCGCATTAAGGGTGACAGTTGTTTGGGTCACTATGGAGTTGTTGTGTTCCTGAATCAATCAAAAGGGGTATTTTTGATAAAAAGACAAGAGGCTTGAGCCTTATTAGCTCACCTGGAATTTGTTATTTCAATTCACAACCTGTGGAATACCATACATTTTTATAAGGGGGGTATGAATTCTTCATAAGTTATTTTACATTTATACAATATTTCACTCGTGACCTCAAAAATGGCTCAAGGTCATTTTTGTAAGCATAATTTGCAAGGCTCCACCCTCGAAAGCTACCAGCCAATTATAATAACTAGACCTTTTGGTCCTACTGACAGAAGTCATTTTAAGATTTTGACATTTTTGACCTCTGTGTTCTTGAAAGTAGGTTAAGGTCACAGAGTTGTGACCTTGAACATTGAAGATGTTGCAAGACTGCCAGGCAAATATCATTAATAGGACTTTCTATGATGGTTTCAATTTCAATGTAGTGATTTACATGCATTTGACCCCCAGAATCAAGGCATTCTGCCTCTTGGGTCTAAAACGAAATAAAACACTTCATGATCAGCAATGCCTTAATTTGAGAAAGGTATTTAATTTTAAATTTGATCATTAATTGAAATTTACATCTTCATCACTACGCCGTCGTTTGACAGGTTCATCTTCCATTGGAGGTGCTGAAGGTCGTTTAACCTTTCTTCCACTGCGGAGATATGATGTGTCGAGGTCATCTTCTGTTTTATCATAAACTGAATCACCAAGTATGGAATGTGTCGACTCATTTATTGTTCCAAGTCTGTTGAGAGAATATGATGAAATAGGCATTTTAATCAAATACTGAAGAAAGTCAAAATCTTATTCACATACATAACATATAAATATACTGACAATATATAATGATTTGTTTGAAATATTTGACAAAGAAATGCAGGCACTTAAAAGTCTTACCCATGGACAATCACCACGAAAATGACTGTAGGTCTATGGGAATCCTTGATTTCATAGACCAAATAAGAAGTCTTTGATGCTATTTATTTCCTATGATATTCAATGATAAGTATAGAAGGGAGCAAAAAGGGTTTTGTTTACTCATTCTTTTCATTCATCACATTCTTTAATAAAGGCAAATATCAGTTTACAGATTACCATACAAATTTTCATGGTGAAAGAAGAATTAACATTGAGACAAATTTTATTGATGAAGATATTTTGAAGATGTTCCAGTTTAATATCATAAAATGTAACAATGCAGAGAGATATTAATATATATCTGATGGTGATCACAAGATCATGATGTACTTTCAATGTAGGAGTTTGCTTAAGATTACATTACAGTTTTTACCTGAATAAGATACTGTAAATTAATCTATGCACACAATCTGGCTTGTGCTCTTGATCACAACACTCTCTTTCATAGAAACTATGACTATTCATAATTTTTAAATATGACTCTTTTGAATGAATCAAAGTCTGTTCTATGGTTATTGAGGTGAAATGTCAAGATCTACCAACATAAACAAGAAATCCCAGAGGAATCTTGGCACCCACCATCGTAATGTAAGCAGTGAAACAGTAACCAAGTGAAAGCTATGTAACATGTACTGTATCATTGTTAGCTTTAAGGTAACTTTCTAACAAAACTTTATACCGCTGTGTATGAACAATATTATCTTTTAGAGTGAAGTTTATATAATTAGCACAGAACTGAAAGATGGAAAAAAATCAGTGTTCAATGTTTTTGTTTATTCCTTTTCAAAGTTTCATTAATTATGTATTTTCAATGCTCCTTCATGGATGGTAAAACTTTGAATGTAGCCCATATTATAACTACTGGAAAATTGTACATGCATAAATATACTCTTTAATCCAATTGGGAAAATAAAGACTAAAATTGGGAAAATGCAGGGTCATATTTCAATTGGAAATTGGTTCCTGTACTGGACCCTATAAATAACCACCTGGCAAAAGCCCTGGATCCATTCTGTTCTTTTTGAGAAAAGGGCATAACTAGAATGGCTTAAGGTCAGACGACAGACCACAGGAGAATTGAATTGTCCACCATCTGATGATGGTTGGCTAAACTTGGACAAATCCTTCCCTAAAGTAATAATTCAAATTTGTCCATTAATAATAGCATTCCATAGGACTATAGATCTATATATGAACCAGTCTAGAAGGATTTTTACACATACCTCCTTGATGGAGAATTGGCCTCCAACTGTGACTGATAGGTATTATGACTGAGAAATGCCAATTTTTCTCTATCCTGCTCATTCAACATACTCTTTCTGTTCTTGTCAGTCAGTAATTCTCGTATTAAAGAAATCTGTCTTTCCTGCGAAAAAAATTGTGATATGTGTAAGGATATTTAAGAATTGAGGATATCTAATGGTGTCTTCAGTAATAACAAATATATTTCACAAGTGTGGCTAATATTTTGATAATTTTCACGAGTGCGCGGCACGAAAGAAGAATATCAAAATATTAGCCACACAAGTGAAAATTATTTGTTATCACTGAAGACACCATTAAATTGTTCTGCTCAAAAAAATAATAAGACAGTTTTATCAGTAGTATATATTTCAAGAATATGTATACTTATATGGATATTAAAATGAAATGAAAATTGAATGTAGTATTGTTTAGTATTGGTCTGAAGACATTGAAAGCATTGATGAATTTATATCAAAATTAAATAAACAAACACAAATATTATAGATGATGGGGAAAGAATGATTAAAACTTATAAATGGAAACACTATTTTTTTTTATAATTGATATAAGGTGACAGTACCCAAATCGGATCACCAAACCATCATTTTATTAAATCATTGAAAAATCTGAAGAGGAATTATATTCATTTATGGTTGTATCAAAAATAGAATATCGATGGGTGTTCTCACAAACGAAATTAGCAACTGGGGCTCACTTGAGATATTTATAGAATGCTCTGAAGTCACCAATCAGCGTCTCCTGTTTTTGCGAATGTTGGGACCCAAACCCGATCACGGCTTGAATTTTGCAGTATCGTACGCTTTAAATGAATATTTTTTGTAAGCATATTAACATTTTATGATGACCTTTAGAATTTATGTGACAAAATGTATTTCTATAGTGTGAATTTATTCCTATAGTCCAAAACATTGTGCATAGTTGTTGCACGCGCCATTTTTTAAAAACGTAATCAAAACATTGACATTTGAGTTTGAATTACGTTTTCTTGCGCTATTTGAACTTAAAATCTAATTATCTGTAGTCAAAAAATGGTGCATGGCTATCTATTCTAAGACAATATCATTGTTATAACTGATTTGTTGACACATTTATTTATAAGTATTTTTGCAAAAAGGGATCCGATTTGGGTACTGCCACCTTAAATACTATGAGTATGAAACAACATACCAACTGGTCTCGTTCAGATTCCAAATACCGTCTGTGTTCTGTTTCTTTAACAATTTGACTTCTTGCATGCTTCAATGTGGTTTGTAGTGAATCATTCTCTTTTTCTAGGGTAGCAATTCTTTCATTAAACCGTTCAAAGTCTGTTTCTAATGAACACCATTTCTTCAAACAATCTTGTTGATTAGATACAAAACGTTGAAATTCTGCAAAATTCAACAAATTACAATAAAATTTTATGCACATAGGACATAATTTGTATAAAAAGCAGCACACAAATATTATCCCATTATATATCATCACATTTATGACAGCAGTAAATCATACTTGCCAACTTTTTTAAATTTCAATGGTGTGATTATGCATGCTCAAAATTAAAACATAAATAAAATGTGTGTATACGGCCCCTTAGAGACAAAATAACCCTTTTAAAATGACATTTACAATGTACTTTGACTTGTGTTTGTTTAGGAATACAAATTAAGACAACTATTAATGTTCAACAAACTGACTTATCAGTCAGTAATATTATCATAACACGTATTCATCATCTCCTTTAAAATTAATTTAGTAAGGATAGAATAGATATGCAAGGATTTGCTCAAATACAAAGCATTTAAAGTGTGCGTACAAGTGCAATTCTGTATAGAGACTCCTGAATTACCCGCAAAATTTCACGAAACGTCTACGAATTCACAAATCATATGTATGGTATACACAAACCTGGTTCTATTCCAACCTGTAATACTTTAGCATTTCTAGCCAGGTCATCAAAACTGGCTATTAGTGACAGCTTGGCATCCATCTGTTGAAAATGAAAACTGCAATGTTAGAAAGCAACTGAATGTGACCGGAATGTTTACTGCAGATCTGCGATCCGATTCAATTCTGGATTAGGAATCAAATGTAAATACAACCACAGTACATTAGCTGCTGTATCGCTCATTAAGATACGAACACCATCACAATCACAAACATAACTGTTATTATGATTACGGGATAAATACCTCTAAATGTGCTGTAAATTAACCTTTGAACAATTAAATCATCCCGTATTTTGCCATCAATAGTCCTTAATTCAGATACTCTTGCCGGGCGTTTTTGAACTTCTTAATATCATCCAATCAAAACTGGAGTTACTAATGGTAGGCGCCACCTGGCGGAGGTATAATAGGAGAATACTTCCGAACTTACCTCCCTTTCCGATTAACTGAAGTCCATGATTTAATTTGTTAACCCTTTCACTCCTATATTAATTTATTAGACTCTACCATACATTGATATAAATTAGTTCATTATAGTTTACGGTGGTGAAAGGGTTAATATCGAAGTAGTTTTGGCAAATGTCGATTTGTGTTAATTAATAATAACAACCGTATTTTAGCTGTTGTTCTTCTCAATCTGGCTATTTTTAAACACAGCCAGGGACCTGCATTGTTATAACAGCTATAGTTGGACATAAACTGATTAGTTGCATATGCTAGGCTTTTGATGCCTTTTATGTTTACCATCATGTGACGCTCTCATGCAGTTTGTTACACGTAGGCCTATGTCACAAATCAGTAGCCTTTCGGTTTACAGAAAGTTCAGCCCATATGTATTAAAGTCGTTCTGGACAGTATGACATTTATTGCAATTTATGTGTAAATATATACACACCATTTGGAAGAGAAATTCCATGCCTTTTATAAAATTATATCAAAAAGCCAAACATGTCCGTATATGAAGAATTCAGTATTAAACTTCAAGTTGTCAGAAGATTGGATGCATTGGATTTGGTTTGCTTAGTTATTTAAGGACGTGTCTTGATCCATATATGAGTTGTACATGCGTACTTGCGTGTGTATATGCAGGAGGCAGGTTATGTTGGTGTACTAATGTCGACTTTTTAGTTTAGTGCTATCTCACTGAAATAGCCGAAGGCGCCCACATAGCATTCTGCCCGGTCACATTATACTGACAACGGGTGAACCAGTTGTTGCCATTCCATGAATGCTGAACGTTGGTCGCTAGGGACACGATAGTCTATAGTGGTAGGACGCCGGGCTCGTGACCAAAGGGTTGAGGGTTCGAGTCACGACACGGCACTGTGTTGTATCCTTTACTCCAATTGTTCATGTCTACTCAGCTTTAAATGAGTACGTGGTTTGGCAGAGCTAGAATTGTTGAATGCTAGCTGTGAGCGCCTAAATGGCAGCAGTGACTGTATGCTCCCCAGGGAGTTGAGAAACATATTGGATGGTTGCAAGACCCTATAACCACAGATAATAATTTGTGAACCGCTTTGAGACGACCTACGAACTAGGTTGTGATAAAGCGGTATATAAGAACCTCGCATTATTATTATTATTATTATTATTATTATTATTATTGTAATTAACGTTAAGCAGGGAATGACAACTACCATTTTAAGGACTTTGCATGGTATGTCCTGGTCAGGGGACAAATATTTCCTTCCTCACGTCATTCAAACATATTTTATTGATGGAATAACAATCAAAGGGATTGGACACAAGTTCTGACAACTTACTCACTTGGGCGAACGTTCAACATTAAAGCCAATGTGAGGTATTGCCAAGCAAGGCGCTTGGAAATAAAATATTGCTATGGGCGCAGCTGACTTATTTCGGTCGCTTTTTGTTTCCCCGAGTAGAGGACACAAAAGCAAATACCTGCACTGGAGATTTGTGTCCCCTACTTAATATACATTTCAGATTTAAATGGTGTTTTCACTTTTTCTGATTTTAAGCTACATGCATTTGAACATAAGAAAGGAACCATTTTTGATTTCAATGCATTATGTACAATTTGTTTATAACCACGGACTTAGATAATCTAATTCCGTGATTTACCATTTAAAATATGGAAAATAATTGAAATATAACTACAAAAAAGTATACAAAAGTACAAGCAGTATTGTCGTTGGACTATGTTACTCAGCCAGCGATCGATTTACCCACCTTAGGCGATATTTATTGTGACAGATCATTCAAAAGCATACCCATGTCCTGTTACAGTAGAACGAGCGTCATTGTTTATTTGTCATTTGACCCGAGGCTAATGACGAAATCGGACTGTGCTGATTTTGTTTCATACATTTTTGTGCCAAGCCCGTAATTATATCTCGCTGATATTAGGGACCATTCTGACACTCACACGGAAAAACTCCCACTCAACATTGCGTCAACATTTGTCTCTGATCGCGTGGGTCCCTATGTATGTGTCTGACGTACACGCCTGGGACCAGGGACAGCTGCTCGCTGTCCCTTTTCTTTGTTGCACACAATAATGGGCCCAACTGTGTGCACTAACAGTGAAAAATGGAGGTTCTTTAAATAATGAATGCTTGGTATTTGATGAAAGTTTGATCTTTGAAGCACACAAAACCTAAATGGTTAGTAATTGTGTTATCTATAAGTTTGTTTAGTTTTCAGTGATATGAGGTTGGTTACGGACACTACACAAGGTTTAAACAAGACAAAACCAAGAATGTTTTTCGTTCATTTTAATTAATTCAATGAAAATATAACAGTTTAAACATCAACAAAGAACATTTGACATAACATGAAAATTGAAAATATTTGTCATAATCTCGCTTTTTACACAATGCATAAAAAATTAAAAACAAACAGGTTTTCCTTATGATTTGATTTTTCATAAACATGTATGTGCTTAAAGCCGAATTGTACGTCGTATGTAAGAACAAGTAAAACCCTTTAACAACCAAAACCCTTCACCATTAAATATCTCCTTTTCTTTCTCCTTGTTTAAACTATTGTCACTGATTGTTTTATAGTATGTATTTTCATTGATAACAATATCTTGTCCATCCTGAATATATTTTGCAGTTTACGATAAGGTGATAGATTAACATAAGTATCTCAGACACTTGTTTCTGTTTCCTATTTTGTACCATGTGTTTTGTTACAACTTGTTTTATATATACATATATATAATTGAAATACTTGAATAAAAGAAAGTTTAAACTAAAGTTAACAATAAAACAGTTTGTAACTAAGCAAATTGTCAATAAACACAATTATCCAGTTTTAAAGATACCAATAACAAATTTTCAATTCAAAACAAAAGTTTCCACAAAAGAAATAATTCATATTGAGATTATCAACCCATTTTTCAGTGATTAACGATATGGTTACAGACACTTAACAAAACATGATTTCTTTTATATTGTGTCACAGAGAGCGAAAGTAAGAGTAACTCCTGGATATGGAGGATGCGCATGTACAGTTGTTACATAAGTATACACAAAAGTCCATCTAATTAATGCACTATTGCAGATATAACTGGTCATAAGTTATCATTTTGTCATCTTTCAAAAGATAATTATTAATATGATTTTAATTCTGAAGTAAATTTTGTAAATACTTGTTAGTAAATTACAAGTGTGACAAGGATTAATCTGAGTATTGAATTGAAAATTGACAAATAAGATGTATTCAAATTACAATTACACTACAGAAAATACCGATATACTGCTGTGGCTTAAACAATAAGCTATAGACTACCTGTCTTTACACAGTTACGGTCACTACATACTCTCTGTTCATAAAACAAAATGCATAAAATGATAAAACCCCATTTGATTAGCTCATCTAACATTTTGAAATACTGCCATGTTATATCATTGATGATATCACTGGATTGGGTTTGAAGCACCATTGTCGAGTTAAAGTAAACAATGTCCTGTGTTGATCACTTCAACTGTACCTACTGTAATTATTGCTCACATGATATTCCCTGTTTGTCAGGCTCAGGCCAAATGTATTTGTTTCCACTTTTATTTGGACTTATATATCTCCTCTTTTTACCTCACCAATCACCTCTGCTATGAAAATATATATGCTTGACTCTGTTTATTATTTTTTATGCAGACAACAACAGCTTTTTGTGTTGGTGTTTTTGGCAGAGAGGATTTAATTTTCTTCATCTGTGTGTATCTTGCAAAACATGAAGTATAACCAGAGCTAGTACTAGTAGGGCTAGCATCTGTAATATCGCCAACTGTAGTATTTTGGTCATCATTTGTTTGTCCATGTTATTTTATACACTTCAGTTTTACTTTCTTTCTCCATTGTTGTGTTCTTTTAATGGCCTTTAATATTTTCTTTTGCATAACTTTATTTTCCTTTAGAACTTTGTGTTGTTCGACTTTTATAACTTTGTTCGCTTCTTTTTTTCTTTTTCTCTTGTGATACTGCTTCCCTCCTTACGTTCTTTCTTTCTCTGGCGATACTGCTTCCCTCCTAACGTTTCTTTCTTTCTCTGGCGATACTGATCCCCTCCGTACGTTTCTTTCTTTCTCTGGCGATACTGCTTCCCTCCTTACGTTTCTTTCTTTCTCTGGCGATACTGCTACCCTCCTTACGTTTTTTTCTTTCTCTGGCGGTACTGCTTCCCTCCTTACGTTTCTTTCTTACTCTGGCGATACTGCTTCCCTCTTTACGTTTCTTTCTTTCTCTGGCGGTACTGCTTCCCTCCTTACGTCTATTTTTTTCCTCAGATTATCTAACGCCATGGAATTATGACTTGCTTCCCTTCCTTGTTTCTGTTTTCTGTTCCTGTCTTTGTCTTTAAAACTTTCATCTTTGTCCTTATCCATTTTCTGTTTTTCTCTCCTTCATTTTACCTTTGCAGCATTCGCACTTGCCTGTTTTTTAAGTGTCGCAGGATTCAGAGAAACCTGGGTTTTTGATGATCTGAGATCCATCATATACCTGAAATAGTCATAAAATTGTATGTGAAAATATGATAAATCACTGTCTACACTGCACTCTATAAAGCTAGTGTTACATACATTCATAAAATATGGTTAAATATGCAGCTTGAATGGCTGTAGAACCATACCAAGTTTAACATTAATAGCAATGTTAGTTTTTAACTTTGGTCATATATATTAACTTCTGTAAGGTAACACCGTATACATTAATCTAATGAATCTATTTAAATGACGTAGTGTCCGTTACACTGTTACATCATTCTAAGTAATGATGTAGTGTCCGTAACACTGTTACATCATTCTACGTAATGACGTAGTGTCCGTCACACTGTTACATCATTCTACGTAATGACGTAGTGTCCGTTACACTGTGACATCA